CCCCCTGCCAAACATGTTAGAGTCCTATTCTTCAAACTGCTGTAACAGAAGGAAAAGTCTCTTTACTCAGTCCAGACTATACGCAAGGCCAGATCCAGATTTTCTAAAACAAATCAGTTTGTAGCAAATCTGATCTCCTTCTTCTAGAATGCAGTCCTCCCTTTTCTCTTTAATCAAAAAGAAGGAGCACTGCAAGGGTAAACCAGAAGAAGGGAAGCTGCCAGGGTGTGGCTTTTACTCGCAAAGCTTTTTTTTATGATTTGCAAGTCGCTAGTTAAGGAACTGATACCATTTATCCTACTAAGCAAATATGCACTTTCAAAAATGCATGTTGTTCGCCCACTTTGGAGTGACTAAACTTGTGAAATTGAAACATAAAGTTGAAAAGGCACCATGATTATCCTCTCTGCACCTAGCAGCAACTTCATGAGCAAAACCAAGAGCATTCAAGTAATTGGGTTGATATTCGGTGAATACGCCACACACCTTCACAATTCACATTAGACTATGTGACATTTATATCAGAGTCTGAAGTAATAATTAAAGCAGTTTTTATTTCACTGAATCTTTTAATCATTTTTGAGCAATTTCACACATTCAACGTGGTTTACTTGAACAGAGGAGAAAGCACAACAAGAATACAAGAAGATTTCCATTACATCAGAGGCTTCGTGTTAGCTGTCAGTGCAAAAAGTGACCAAAAATATTCCTGGGTCTGATGTTTACAGCTTCATTTTCCTTCAGAAGTCAAGATAACAGCCATGTGAAGAGCTTCATTTTAATTTGACACAAGAGAAAAAAATACATTCCTTCAGTGAACCCAAGAAAATGGGTTCGGTGACCTTAAGTTCATGCCTTAAATGGTAAATTCCTCTTTTCTGTAACAAGCTGCTTCTTCTTTTACTTCCACATCTCATTTGCAGTCAGATGCCACTGGAGTAAGCACAGTGTGTACTTCTAGTAACCTCAGCTAAAAATAACTATTTTGTTTTGTCAGAAGAATAGCCCCCTGCTATATGAGGAAGGTCACTCATCAGTCTTTTTTTTTTTTCTTTATCTTTCATCTAGGAAGCCTTGGTGAATTTAAATATTTCCTGATTTCCCACTAAAGGCATACACGGCATAAAAAAGGCAGAGTAATATATATATATATATATATGTATATATCTTTACTAAAGAAAAACATATAAAGTTTCCATGTGAATGTGATTACTCATGGGAATTTTACATTAAATTTAACTATGAGAAATAGGGGAGAGTTGGATGATTTACGTCAGCGGGGAAGTTGTGTCTTCCCTTGTTTCTAGGGAAACATATAAGCAATTGGTCATTTGACCTCTCATTTTCAAAGAGTTGTTTTATTCATTCTAAAAAGAAGATAATCTTCATTCAACAGATGAAGACACATTTAAGTAAAAAATAAAATAAAATTATGGGTTAGGATTAAGGTTTTTTAATTTTGTGTGTGAACAGTTGAGGACAAGTTTGAAAACATTTTTCACATGTTTTCTTGCTTTGGTAGGCTACTCTATGAGTTTATGGAGCTAGCACGATGTTAGCTCAAAACTACTGGATGATGCAGCTTTGCTTTAAAGTCGCTTCAAGTAAAAAACTGGCACAAACTCACCTCACTCTACTCTATGTGATACACGCAAAAATGCGTGTTATGCTCATGACAAATGCAATTTTGGTGAATTTTGAAGATATAATATATAAAACATATGTGAAACACATGTGAAACTGCTGCTATTACATGTGGTGCTCATGTTTAATCGCACAAGGCATCTAAAATCTATAACTATTCAGGTAAAATGTGTAATCTGAACACAGTCGAAACAGTCATACATTCAAGCAACCGTCTTCAGATTGGTGTGCGTCTTGGATTTATGTGTCTTGCTGAAAGATGCTTCAACTAATTGTGAGCAAAGCTGGAGTCAAACACACAACCTTATCAACATGCAAATGTGGGCACACATTTCACATGTGACAAAAAGCACAGTTGAAATAGTTTTTCTCAAAACGTATAACTTGGAAAAACATACACTTCACTTGCTGGAACATAACCAGGTATTTTATATAGTATATTGAAATGATATTACGTAGAAACATGTGGAAGCTTGTTGACAAAAATTCCACATGTGACAGAAAAAAATGCGTTAAAAATGAATAAAACCATATGTGCAGCATTCGCGTATGGGAAACATTTTCATGTGACACAGGTGGGGAACAACATGCAACATTTTCCTACAGGCATTTCCCACTTGGAAATTTTTTTCCCATATTTGAAATATATTGTGGTCACATTTTCCATTTTGCAACAATTGACCAATGTTTTTAGCTGTCATCAAATGTGGACCACGCTATGACATGGTTTTGGTTAATGCAGGGGTGAAAGTAGTTTTAAATTCTTGGGGGAACTATAAATATATATATAATTGCTTCTTTGTGTGCTTTGGAGTTTCTGTGCTGATGAATTTTTTCGCGAAGCGATATAAGCTGGGTAGCTCTTGAATTGCTACAAAATAAAGCTGTGTTTCCTCAGCCCACTGCTCCAATGTTAACACTGTGAGATGTCATGATACCTAAATTCTGGACATCATGGCATGGAGTGCATCCCAGTTTTCAATGTCTGGCATATAACCATTCATTTTAGCTTTTAAACTGGTTATATTGATCCTGTGTCAAGACAGAGGGATAATCAGTAGCCCTGCATCATGACCTGTTTGTTCTGAAGATCCTGCAGCTTCCACTTCATCTTCCTAACATGGCGCTTCCTCACCCTGACTCTCATACTGTGATAGGAGGAACCACAGAGCTCTGTTAGGTTAACAGCTCATCTTCTGAAGTTGGGATATTTTCCTCCAACAGGTTCCAGAGGATTCACTCAAACCAGATGTTGGACTGGATTTTATTTCAATGCCATTTAAGGACACCCGTTGCCGTGGCAACCGCCTGCACTCCTCGAGCCGAGCACAGATTACGCTAAAAACATTTAGTCCGTTATGATAATAGGTCTTCAGGCTTGATATTTATTTTGCGATAATTAATAAGCGCTCCCCGAACACAGCGGTGGTTGATTAGTTAATTTTAAACTCCTGCTCTGCTAGTTATATAGGTTATGGAAGCGAAACGCACAGAATTGCGCAACACCTTGTTGGAACAATACTTACTGAGATTATTATTTTTGTTGGGTCATTGATTTGAACATTTTTTTTTTTTTTTTTTGTTATATAATAAAGTTACGAACGTTTTGATAAGGACGTGCTGGTCTCAGCTGGTTCAGTTTGTCACCTAATGCCGAGATCGACTCAAAACCTTCCGCTATCGACATGTTGCAGCCCTGCTCTACTAAAGCACGAACAGTTCAGAAACAATATGAAATGAGAAAAAAAAAAAATATTAACTGATTAAGTCGTGTTTTAGATTGTTCTTGAAAAACTAATCAGATACGATTGATTAGTGGGAGCACTCACAGCTGCACAGTGAACCCATTGATTCTTTCCAGCTGACAGCCGCTCCTCTCTCTTGCAGGTACTGCGTACCCCCGCTAAATCTTTTAGGGGTACGCAGTACCCGACCGTACCCTCTTACTTTCACCCCTGGGTTAATGATCACAAGAAGAGAAGGATGGTGACATTCCTCCATCCATTATCAAATGATGAAAACTTCAAATGTTTTTATTCTGTAATGAACACTTTTTTTGTCTATTACTGTAATCATGTCCAAGAAGGATTGTTGTGCTAGATAAATTTCTACTAAATGACTGTGGTTACTAAACAGACCTTCTTTAATTAGCAGGACTTTATTTTTCTCTTCCAGGCATTTCTGGGTTGCCTTTTTTTTTTAAAGACACATGTAATATAAAGGCAATGCCACAAGCAGAGGAAGGAACAAATGGGTGGAGATGTCAGCTCCTGACCTGTAGAGATAACAAAAAAAAAGGTGGGGTTAGAGATTCTTGCCGTTTCAAGTCATTTTAAATTCACAAGAATCCTTGTTTTCTATTAAGCTTAAAGAAATTAGGTTTTACAATGTAGCAGCACTTTCTGTTGTCTCACTTTGAAGCTAGGCCAGTAGAGATTTCTGAAGAATAAGCAACATTTGATTCTATTCCACAAACTAGGCATGATTGGATCGCAAGTGCACTGGTGGATCAGTGCACTTACAATGATGTATTGCTTTCAATATTCATTATATGAATATGACTGAAAAACATGGGTGCCTGAAATAAATATTCTTCTATAAAACACATTTACAATGCTTTCCGATGAAAAGAGTTCATCAAGGAATCAGAGGTTTTCATATAGTTTTAATGTGAATATTTGTGACAAATGGACTTCAGTTAAATGTTGAACTTTGATGAAAACCCAAAGTGTCTTACCTTGAAAACATGACACAATTGTGGTTGCTTTGCAGATCAAGATGGCTCAAAACAACTTCTGTGTATTCGTCATCATCTTCAGTGGTCTTTTTGTCTATTCTCTCCACAGTGAAGACTTCAGCTGGAGATAGGAGTATTATACCAAGATTTTTCAAACAAAGTTGGTCCCCCAGGTTGACGTAGAAGCAAGTTTTTATTTTAAGAATGGTTAGGCCGTACAAATCTATAGACCTTAAATCTGACTCGACTTTTGTGAAACTTGCAAACCTCACTTTGGAGTTTATTTTTGGTACTTTTTCTCCATCTGCCAGGATGACATATACCTCTCTGCACTCCTTTGGCTTCAGCAACGTCATGGAATCCATCAGCAGGAAATGGAGAGCCTTGAAATGGAAGTCCTTTTCATACGTGGTAACATTCACCATCATTGTCTCCATTGCATTGTTCAGCTCCTTTAAAAACGGTTCATCTACATAGTGATAGATGAAGAGGGCAGAAGTGTGGTCTTCAGTAACACCAGGGATCTGTGAGGTACAGTTACTATTTTTTCTCCAATCTTCACATGTTCTCCAGATTTTCTTCAGTTTCTCATTTTTGCCAAACTCTTCTTTGAATAGATCAGGAGTAAACTTCTCCAAGGCTTCTTTACGACATCCATCATACCGGTCGTCAATAACAGGTGAGGTAGGATCCACCAGTTTGACATCACTCACCACCTTTAAAATCAATGATCACAGGATGAAAGACTTTTACTGTGATGACTGCTTTTAATGTTTCCTGAAAGAGACAAAAATACTTACTTGGCTGTAGAAAAATGAGAATATGAGTGTGTCCAAAAGCAATATCCCCCTGCCAAACATGTTAGAGTCCTATTCTTCAAACTGCTGTAACAGAAGGAAAAGTCTCTTTACTCAGTCCAGACTATACGCCCACGATCAGGATTATTGCTCAACTACGATCTTTTGATGAGCTACAAATCCTACAAAATCTGATCTTCTCTTTGCAGGCTGCAGATAACTGTACAAAGAGACAAACCTGAAGAAAGTCCAAGAAAAATTCAAAGCTATCTCATAAGGCTCTGTCCACAAATATTACACTGCAGTGGAGGGATTGATTTCTGCAGAGCTCTGAGAATGCTTATCTACTGATGCAACTCCCCTTTCCTGTGGAAGGAAACCCGACTACCATGGGGAAAACTCCTCTGCAGTTATTGGTCAACTTTCAGGGAAGAATTTGAGCAAAAATACCAAAGTGTCAACTACACTTCTTTCTTTTCTTTCTTTTTTTAAATTTAAAGTTGTACAACATGTTCAACTACAGCACCGTACAGCAGTTTAACGCAAGCAGGAAGGAACTAGCTGGCAACACCCTAATATGAGATCTGTGCCAAGTTTTTTTGAAACAAGATGAGCATAAACATATCCAGATGTTTTGGCAACAATAACAGCCATGCCACTTTTTGTCTCTACTCTCAGTGAGCTTTGAAGCATTAGTCATACTTCCTTACCATGCTGTGCATTGCTATCTTCCCAATTGTTTTTTATAATTTTTCTGCAGATATATATGGACAAAACTGTTTTTTTTTTTTTTTTTTTTTTTGCCAGGATTTCCTGACAATGAAAATCAACACATATTAGCCCAAAATATTTGAATGGCATATCTTTTCTTTGTCTTGGCTCACAGAGGATAAATGTCACGATTAAAATTTAAACTTAGTTTTTCGCTTTTCAATTCTTCAGTATGAAACTATATCTCTGCAATACAAGATGGATTTAATTTAATGCTTTTTACATATGATTTTCAGAGGTGTCAGGACTTATGCTGAAAACATAAATTCGGAGTTTGTAGTTATTTTTCTTGTCCCAGAAATATATTTCTATCACACAATGTCTGACAAAAATGTCCAGGAAATGCAAAAAAAGAAAAAAAAAAAAATTTTAACTAATATTTTCGAAATTGCTGATATCAAGATCAACGTTAGAAATCTGTTATTTTAGACGAGTTGATTTTATTTTGAAAAGCTCTACCGGAAACGTACTAGTGGACGATTCCATAACTAGTATGTGAGAGGGGGATGTACACTATGGTTTCTCTGAACTGACGAATAACATACAACTTTATGCAGTTTGATCATTCTAAAACTGTTACTAGCATTACAAGAGATTATAGTGTTGAGCTTATGATTGAAACTTGAGTTGTATATTTGCAGTTAAATCATGCGACCAGAGAAAGCCCATTTCCGGTTTGTGAAGCGCCAAAACAGAAACATCTGTTTACACCGAGTTATAAACAGAAGCTGGAAGGAGACTCAGAAAAAACAGGTAGACATTTTTTCCTAAATGTAGCGTTAATGTAACAAACCGAGCCACTAGGAGCAGAGTCTGTAAACTGTAAACTGTTGAAGCTAACAGGTTAATTTATTAGTAGTTCCTGAGAGGAAAGTTTTTCTTCTTGAGACTTCAGTTTTACTATTTTTTTTCTTTTACTTTTCCAACCCCAAAGGTAATTCAACCAAAATGTAGGTTTAGTACTGCTTGAAATTTACCTTAAATAGGAAAAAAATAAAGTGTCTGAGCCATTTTTTTTGTTTATGCTACATTCTGCTAAATGTAATATTGAATAATATTGATGTATTTTATTACAAGGTAATGCGGCCCAGTGAAGTAGAAGGACAACGTTACATGCTAATCCAGTGTTTATTATAAAACCTCCACTTTGCTGCAATCACAGCTGCAAGTGTTTTGGTGAGTTTCCATCTTTATTGCACATAAAGACTGATATCTTTGCTCATTCTTCTTGGCAAAGCAGTTAAAGCTTAGTGAGATTGGATGGAACTTCAATCTTTGATTCCCAAATAGATGTAGGTCTTAACGTTAAGTGGGTTTTTCTCATGCAGGAATACCTTTGACATACCATAATTGCTGCTCTGTCTGTATGTTTATGGTCATTGTCCTGCTGGAAGGTGAACAGGGAGGGATGTTACAGCCCTAAAAACCAATTTTTGCTTTTTTTTGTTGCCATTTCTAACAGGCCTTCTGATAGAATTCATTTTCATAAAAAATGTATTTTCATGGCCAGAATGTACTTCATTGTCATGACTGAATGCTTAATTTAAAAATAATTTCACATAGTGCACCATGATGCTTCAATATGAGTTCCTCTTGAGACCTTCACTGATCAATTGGCTTTATGAAATTACTCACACATGGACTACACTAATTGGGTCCCTTTGAATGTAACAGGTTGCACTGGGTTTTATTGTAGGGAGTGAAAGTAAAAAGGTGTGAATATAAATGATTTTTATTTGTAAAAGAAACAAAAAACATTTACCATTTACTTCTTTTTCACAAATATGCTCTCCGTAGTGTTGGTCTATAAGAGGTATGAATACTTTTCTTGGTAAATCCTGCAAAAAAGGCTAAATGATTTAAAAAAAAAAAATCTAATTTGAGAAACTTCTTTAAGTCTTGCTGATGTCTTGTTATTAGTTATTAAAGTAGAGGACAGGATCAAAGTTTTTAAAAGTGTCTCATTTTAAAAAGTAAAAACAGTGAATTTTCTCACTGAAGGAAAATCTGTTTTTTACACATTCAAAATGTTACATGTTAACTCACCAAAGCCATACATTATCATTGTTTACCAACACTTTAGCTTTTCCTTCCGAGGCCATTTGAACTCTGCTTTCTTCTTATTTTGGGATTATGCTGTTAAAACAGAAAATTGTGCAAAAAGAAACTCCTTTTTCTTTGCAGACTCATTGAATTGCATATAAGTGGTTACCAGGACCTGAGGATGAGCAGGTGGGGCGAGCGGCTGAAGAAGGTGGAGCGGCTGGCTCAGTCGTTTCAGCAGAACCCCCTGACGACGCCGTACAAGCCTCGGCTGTGGCCGTGCCAGCCCTCCTCTGTCTGGAAACTCTTCCCTCGACAGAACCTGGCCATCAGCTTCGCTCACAGCTTTAAAGAGGTGCCTCTTTAACGAGCGACATGTAGTTCACTCTGTGCGTGGAGCGAAAGCGGCTAACGCGTGTCATTTGTTCGATTTACAGGCTGTTCATGTTTTTGCACTTGAAAAAGAAAAAGCTTCATTGGGTCAAAGGATTTACCTGGTCACAAGTTACAGCGAACTGTGGCATTACTACAGGTGCTACTGACTTCCTGTTGTTTTTGACTTTTTTTTACCTAACTAAAATCTTAAATGACCGTTTATACCTCTACGTTTTCTAGGGTGTACCCGCAGTCCTTGATGCATTGTTATGAGGTGATACCAGAGGGGGCGGTGTGTAAGCTGTACTTTGACTTGGAGTTTCACAAACCCTCAAACAAAGGGTCTGATGGGAAGTCTATGGTTTCCCTGCTCATCCAGGTTGGCGACATTTGAATGCTCATGATAATAATCAGATATCTCAGACTCGTTAACATTCATATCATGCAATTTGCTGAAGGTCCTACTTTCTATGGTGTTTTGTCTATATTGAACAATGTTTCCTTTAATCAAAGTTAATTGTTGAATTGTTTTTCAATGTTTTTCAGTTCAATTCTGATGAGCAAATATGGAATCTACCCTCAGTTTCCTGCAAAAAACTGTAATCACAGTTTCGTGTACTCACAGGAAACTGAGGGTAGTTTCTGGAAAAAATAGGGTTTTCCTGTAATTACAGTTTTCTGTAAATACAGGAATCTGACAAGTGTGGCTCTCGGTATTATCTTCTGCTTCAGCCCATCTGGTTGAAAGTTTGACCTGCTGTATGTTCAGAGCAGTTATTCCACATATTGTTATTTGTAGCGAGTGGCACTACTCTTGCCTTTCTGTCATGTGGAACCAGTCTCCCTGTTCTCCTGGCATTCTCGTACATGCAACTTAAGATTTCTGAATATTTTTTTTATAAAACCCAACCAATAATTGAGTGTGATGGTCATGTGTTATCAGACGTTTCAGAAATATTCACACCAAAAAAAAAACGGACTACAAAACCGTTTTTTTTTTCCTCTTCAATTTGAACTTCAGCAAGTCGTCTTCCCCAGCATTGAGTTGCTGCCTCGTGATTGGCTGATCAAGCCGATGAACGGGAGTATCTAATAAAGTGGCCCTGGAGTACGTTGCCTTAACATTTGCCTGTGTTGGTGTGTGCTGGCAGTATGTCTGCGACAAGTTGGTGGAAGTTTATGGGGTTGAATGCTCTGTGAAAAATGTGCTGAACCTGGACTCCAGCACGGAGGAAAAGTTCAGTCGACATCTTATCTTCATGCTACAAAACGCAGCTTTTAAAGACAACATCCACGTTGGTATGTCCAGCCTCAGATGGAGACTTTAGAATGGGGTTTTTTCTTTGATTATTGGTCTGATATTCCTTATTATTATTTTTATCTTCTAGGTAGATTCATCCATGCTATTCTTCAGCCCATAATAAGCAAGCTCAAAAGCGACAGCCGTCTTCATGAAGGGGACATTTCACTGACAGACGACAGACAGTCGGTTTTCGTTTTAAGACTTGTCAAAAATAAATGTCCACTTGTCATAACCTTGTGTAATTCTTCTTCTTCTCATTGCAGCACCAATATTGATTCTGCACCAGCTCAGAGTCCAGAAAGGAAGAGGCAGAAACAGGAAGTGAGAGATCTCAGCTTCCTGCTGGTGAAAAACAAGGACGGTCGTGACGGTCTTTTTGTTGATCTGGGTGAGACGAACCACAGTGTTTTATTTAAAGAACAAAATTAAATTAAACAAATCACTCACTATTAAATGTATTTCAATTTATATTATTTTTAATTTAAAAAAAATCAGGTTTTAGGATTAAGTGGAGAAGAACAAAGCAGATGAAGATAAAACATAGTTTTCCAAGAAACAGCAAAAAATAAATTAGAATTAGAACTTTTTGTTTGTTTTAATAACATCAAAGCTTTTTGTGGCCCTCAGATCATTGTGAGTAGGAATAGGGAAAAAAAAAAATCAATAATCACCTCAAGTTTTAGGTTTTTAATTAGATTGTGATAAGAAACCTTTCCCAGAAGACCAAAGAGCTCTGGAGGGTTTGCAAGGCGAAAACAGATGATGATCATTAAAAGCTTTAAAGTCAATCAAATGAGCTTTAAAAGAATCTTGCTAGCATCGTTACATTTTTTGCATTTCTTCTCATGCATAAACGTTAGAGTGATAAGACTAAGGAAAATTTATGTCAGTGGACTCTTTGTAAATAGTTTTATATCTTAAATGTCTGGATTTTACTTGTGTGAATTTACACAAACAGGTGTGTACACCAAGAACAGGAACTTTCGGCTGTACAAGTCCTCAAAGGTGGGGAGGAACGCAGCATTCACCGTGGCTGAAGACAACCAGTTCACCGCCAAACCTGCTAAAGAAAAGTCTGCTGAGGAAACTGTCTTCCTGGCATCTTTAGTGTGTAATGTCAGGTACATTTGAGCTTTTGAAATGTTTCAAACTTAAACATCTCAGTTTTTAAGTGGTTGTCGTTTAGTCGGTTGTCGGTTTTGTTTATTTATTTTTATTAGTTTCACAGGCCAGAGGATTCTGACATGGGACGCCCCAGAAACAAAAGTTACAAGTCCAAGAGCACAAAGTCAGCAGGGACTTGATTCAAATCAAGGTAATGCCAAACTTAATTTAACAATATTTCTCTTCTCCATATCACACAAATCATTACGCACTGCTGTGTGTCGAACGTCTGCCAAACAGTGAAGTTGAAAAGTCTGTGATAGTTTCTTTCCTCTTCAAAATGGTAAATGTTCCTTGTTTTACATCTCATAGAAGTTTTCTAGCTTACATGAATACATTGTGCAAACGTTGCAAAGTGTTATTTTTTTTTATGTATAATTACTTTGAATGCTTTCGCTCAAAACTGCTTTTTTATTCCTGACAGGCACATTTTCTGGCTGCCTGTCCTCTCCTTACAAAGAAGTGGACAACTTTGTGTTTACTTTGGTCAGAAAGGATGGGGTTCAGGGAAGTAAGTCTGACCACAAGAAGCACTTCTGAAAAACCTGTTTACTTTTCAAATAATAACAAAAAAAACCCCCAGCAAAAATAAATCTTCCTACACATCTTTGGAAAATTGAATTTCTGCTAATTCCATTTGATCAGAAATTCAATTTAATCCCTTAAATTGAACTAGTTTTTTATTATAGATTGATTTATAATTTCAGGAATAATACCTTGCACCACTATGTTATAATTCAAGGATTTTGTAGGTTTTTCAGCATTAAGTTGTTACCGTGTCGTCAGGGACGAACTTGAGGCCCAGATCTCTGAATCTGTCTTCCTAAACTCACCAGGCATTCGACGATGGAACTACTTTGCTGCAGACCAACTTCTTGTCTATGACATTGCCAAATACCGCTGGTGTGAAAACGTGAGCAGGTTCCATAAGAGCAACAACATCATGTAAGTGTGACACCTTGCTTCCAGCTCCGAGTGCTGTCTGGGGGCTGCTGCTGTTCTCATCTGGCCGCCTCCTTCTCTGCAGGATTGTTGTGGACCTTAAAGAGGAGGTCTGGTACCAGAAGTGTCATGATCCAGACTGCAGGAACTTCAGGTCCTCAAGTATGCTTCAGACTTACTTGTTTTGGGATGGAAAATTTCAAAATAAAATTATCTATGAAGGAAGAAGTTGTAAAGAGGTGATGGAAGCATTTTCTGTTGCAGGTTTCCCGCTTCCACAAGAGATCTGTGTCAGCTACATCCTGACACTGGTGAGTTTACATCAACCTGTGTTACATCAACCTGTGTTACAGCAAATGAATTAAAAAAAGCGAAAGACTTTTTGTATTTGTATCACATTTAGCATGTCTGCTGTCTTTCTCTCTGACAGGACGAGGAGGATCAGGCGTACCTAATGGACGACACTGGCAACATTGAACCCAGCCAGGCCCCGAGCAGCTCCATGCGTCCGACAGAGGCGACTCCTGAAGTGTGGGGAGACGAGCAGGACGAGCGAGAATTTTTGAAGAGCCTGAATGATTTTGAACAAAGAAGTACTGAGATCTCAGATGAGCTTCTTCTCACATGTGCGGCAGACTTTGACTCCTAGCGGGCGACTAAGATCGGCGTTTCCAGTCGCCACAGCAGAACGTGCTCCGAAACAAATCATAGTTTAAAACAACTTTTTCACTCAGGATAAATAAATGGTGGTAGAATGCTATTAAAAGATGCACATATTTGTAAGATAATAATACTGCAGTCACCTTAATGTTCTTATAACTTAATTAATGTGCAATAATCTGTTTATTAAATGTTTCTGAAGTCCAAACAGATTTGCATGTTTTATAGATTTATAAACAAAAAGTGTCCTATAAAATGATAAACACAACAGAGAACTTCACAAAAATGTTGAAAGAAGATATTTTATTTGACAACAATCCAATGATTTCAAAGAAAATTTCATCCCCCCACCCACCCCATTTTTTATACAAGAGACATAAAACGAGCTTTTAATGTCAAAGAGATACGATATATTGAGCTGTGCAGAGAACGGCTCTAAATTGAAACTAGACATTTTGTTTTTTAGGCAGCTTGAAGATGTCAGACCATCACGCAGAGACTTCTGAGTTAACTATGATGTCTTCCAGAAAATCACCACAAGAGAAAAACATCCTCCTAAACGTGTAATATATATATGTATATATACAAGCTTAAAAAACTTTCATCTTGAAACCTGTGGCATATATATATATATTTTTTTCTTATAAAACTTTAAACTTGATACAGGAAAGTACCATTTTAGCAAATATTAGCAGCACATCTTTAAAATTTACCACAATTTCAAGTTTTCACCAATTTCACCAACTCAAAATAAACAATGAAAAGAAATGCTATAAATCCCTTCCTTTAGAGATATTTCAGTTTATAATTTCTCTTATTAAAAGAGAAATTATGCTCCTTATTAAAAAACATTTCATCAGTAAAGCTGTTGAGGTGAACCGTGTTGTCTTGAGTTAACTGGTTTAATGCTACCATCCTGCGTTTCCATACTTCTGTGTGTGAATGAGAGGAGCTGAACGTTTACAAAGACGGCAAATTTTGATCCACTGCATTTTGCTATCAGTCCTCAAAAAAGTAGATACTGTTGTTTTGTGCTTCAAGTTATGTGGTTTGTTTTTCTGCCAGGATAGTTGATTTTTTGGCAGCAGAGGAAGGTCAGAAGCAGCACAAGCTCTTTAAGTGACATGTTGAGAAATGTTTTGCTGATCATATTACAGCAAAGACGTTCTGTTTTATCCTTTTGTGTTTTCAACCTCTTCAAACCTGATCTTTGGAAACCTCTGTGCTAATCATGACTAACATCTTAAGTCACTCATGTGTTGTTGTTTTTTTTTTTAGAAGAGACGTCTCTGCTTGTACAACACAGCTACATTGACTATTTTACATGCATTATACAAAAACAAAGGCACATGAACCCTAACAGGTTCTTGACCAAACTTCTCTTTATACATCCTAACCAACTCCACCCTTCAGCCTTCAATGCTGAGACACACGGGAATGCAGGAGATTATAACTACAGAGTCTCAGACATGCTATTCTGCATACAAATATAGTTTTTCAGCTAAAAGAAAAAAAACTATTTACAGCCATGGTGATCACATTAAATACCAACTTAAATAGCTCACCAAATCATTAAATAGCTTGGCATATAAATAGTTGTGGTTGAGTCAATGTAAAAGCACTTCAGAGTATTTTCTCCGAGAATAAAAAAAAAAAAAGTCTACACTTTTTTTTTAGTTGCTGAAATTTTCTGGCAGTGAAGGCATGAGAAGTTCAGGTTTCTATTTTCAAGAGTACTGTGCGTTTTTTCAGCTATTAAGTTGACATCCGTTGCCCCTATTTGTTTGACACGACTACAAAATTACTTGAATCATCACCAGGTAGACAAAATGCACAGAATCCTCTCAAGAAGCGGTTGTTTGCGTGGCCATGCTGTGGTAGTTACTCGGCTCCAGCTCACATCTTGATTTTGGCATAAAGTTCGTCAATCTGCTCTCTGAAGTGACTCCGGAGCTCGTTCCTCTTGGCCTTCAGGGTGGGGGTCAGCAGACCGTTTTGAACAGAAAACATCTCGGGATGTAATGCGATGTCTCTCACCTACAGAGGAACAGACGGGTCGAAATAAATGAGCAGATGGTTTCCCTTTTGTTCTACAGCTTCTTGAAAGGCTGCTTTCATGTCGATTCAAACTGGTGAAATATGTTGCTGCGTCACTTCTACAAAGTTTTTTGACATTTGATGAAATATTTTAGCTAACATTAGATACCTGTTCAAAAGACTTTAATCCGCCTTCTTTGCCCAAAATCAAAATGTCCTCCAGAATGGCTGCCTTTACATCCTTAAATGGAAAAAACAAACAAAACATGTCAGACCTGAAATCTAGAGTTGTGCGATTAGACAGCAGTGTTTATTAAATCAAACCTTGTTCCTGCACAACTCAAGGTAGGATCCTTCAAATCCTTGTTTCTTGGCCCAAATAGGTAAAAAGTCTGGATCCGGCACCACTATGCCCACCAGGCATGCCTAAAATACAAGAAAGACAAAAATTAAATGGAGCAAAAATAGTTGCAGCATTACAAAAAGAGGTCAATTTCTTTCAAACGTAATGGATCTGGATGAATAATTAACCTTTAAGCTATCCCCATGAACAAATATCTGAGCCACTGGATCGCTGCGGTTATAGATGGTCTCTATTTTCTCCGGGGCGATGTACTCTCCTTGGGCCAGCTTGAAAATGTGTTTCTTTCTGTCAATGATCTTCAGAATGCCATTCTGCAGCAAATCCAAAACGCATTTTTATAGCTTAAAACTTCCCGCATTGTCTGAATCGTAATTTTATGTTGCTACTGCGTTTTTTTTGCTCACCGGAAGCCATTTCCCAATGTCGCCCGTGTGCAGCCATCCATCCTTGTCGATTGCCTCTGCTGTTCTCTCAGGATCTTTCAAGTATCCCTTGAATACGTTTGATCCTTTGACACACACCTGCAATGACACACAGGTTACAGATCGAAATATCACGACAAAAGGCAAAATGTCACCTTCTCCACACTCAATTTAAGACAATTTTGTCTAAATCTACAAAGCATCAGGTAACAAACAACTACTTCTTTAATCTATTCACCAGATCCAACTACACCTACTTTATGGTATCTTCTGTTTTCACAGATTATGTTGATTTCTTTCTATACGAGTATGCTAAAAAACAATGCTTCAATGCACCCATCATAATTGATTTTTTCAGGCCTAAGATTTTTCCTATTCATTAAATCCACCAAAACTGAGAACGTCCACCATTTTGGTCTACAAATACCTCCACCAACAGTGTGCACCTTGATGCACTTTGGCTTTGGACTTACATAAATGGAAATAATCTTGCAGTTCGTTCATAATCTGTTAGAACTTTTATCTCCATCATTGAGATTTAATGGTCAATAGCTACTAAACTCAACAGGTGAATTAAAGCAAAGCTTACACAAATGAGTTTGTATGTTTTACAGTCTTCAAGGCAAAAAAAAAAAAAAATATGGCAATCAGTAGATCATATTTTAGAGAATCCTGGAAATTGGTATCTGCCAGTAAAAAGCCTGGCTGATACCAGGTTGATCCTCACCTCTCCTTCTCCGTTTGCTGCCAGGTAATTCATTTCTGCCACATCCACTAGTTTTACCGCATTGCATGGCAGAGGAGGCCCAACGTGACCTGAGGACACGACATTTACGTTTATTTTCGTTTTTGTTTGCACGTTCCTGACCTCGGATGCTACGTTTTAACTCATAACAGGGCCTCCTTATTTAGAGTTTAAGCAACACTTTCTGAAAACCAAAACTTTTACCTGCTGACCAGTCTCCGGGCATGGACATGGTGCACCCAGCCGTGCATTCGGTCTGGCCGTAGCCTTCGTAGAACTGCAAGAAAAGATGTCAGTGGTGACGTGAAGCCAAGTGAACTTCAGTAGATCAATAAATAGTGATATCAGTTATTAGTAATATTTACATGGACCACTTATCAGAATGATACATCTGTCCAGGATGAGTTTGACTGACCTGGCAGCCGAGAGCGGCTCGTAGGAAAGTCAGGATGGTTGGAGAGACGGGGGCTGCTCCGGTGATCATGAGTCTGACTCGACCGCCCAGGCTCATCTGTGGAGATTAAATTTGTGCTGAAGTGTAAATGTTTGAAAGAACGTGACCTTAGTTTGTTGATCAAGAAGGCTTACGTTGCGCTGTGCATGCTGTGACCTTAGACCTGGTGAAACGCTTTTAAAGAATACGGTTTCAGGAGAGCAAAATGCGTCTACTTTCTAACCTGCACTTTTTTGAAGATGAGTTTATCCCACATGCTGTCCTTTCTCATCACCCCGTTTTTCAGCTCAGACTCCTTCCTTCTGAAGGCGAAATCCAGCAGCCATCTCTTCAGGGGTGTGTTGGCCTGGCTGAACACCTGTCGAGAAATGAGAACATCTCAAGTTCTCCACATCATCGGGGTAAATGAACTAAATAGAGCCACACGGCGGATAAGTAAAGGCCAGGCAGAGTAACAGAAGAAACATCAAGCGTCGTCTGACCTTGTCAAACATGCGGTTGAGGAGACGCGGCACGACGGGGAAAACCGTTGGCTGCAGAGTCTTCAGATCGTCCATTAGGAGTCGAATGTCGCCTTGGAAGTAGCCGATCCGCGCACCGTGGATGAGGATGACACCCTGACGAAGAAAACATGCTACTTATTTCTACGGCGAATCAAAACTACATTTTTTTTGGCCACTAGAAGGCAGCATTCTACAAATTAATTGTGATCTTATCGCTTGATGTTTGAGGACAAACACTTAATGGCGTTACTCCATCACACCCAACTTCGGTCTGTTAGTAAACGCTAGCACTGACACAAGTTTTAGAGCAGCCACTTGAGAACTTGTGAAGAATACAGTTTACTTGAGTTTTGTTCAGGTGGTCTCATGGTAAAATAAAACCTCATTTAGCAAAGAGATACTATTAATGGTTCAGGAAAAGCAGCACAATGGGGAAACCTCATGGCTGTGCAGACACATCATACATGTATGCACTGTTCCTTTTAACCTTTGTTTTACTTCCTGCAAAGTTTATGCATCTCTCCTTAATGTCTACGCGCTGTGAGTGCTTGAAACAGAAGTCAAATTCCTTATTTGCACACACAGTTTTGTCCAATAAAGCTGATTATTGGACAAAATCATCCAATTTAGCTTAGGCATCAAAAGCTGCACATGAAGCTCCGGAGAAGGCAGCCAGCTGAGCGAGTGAGGATGCACCGAATGTGGTGTGCTTGGGAAGGAAGCAATTAACCCGGCACGGCTTAGAGCTGAGAGGCAGCTGCATCAAATGGTTACATCGCTGCGTTTTCCTCTTAACGTTTGTCCGTTGGAAAACAGGACGGGTTTGTTGCTCAAGATAAGCCTGGAAGTTAAGGAAAGTAACTGGTCACTGATGTGGTGCAGTAAGGGTCTGCTGCTTTTGTTTTAACTTGCTCCATATCAGCATTTTCAAATGCAGCTGTGTATGCCAACTGGCTGACAGCTGACATCCTCCCATTCAGGAGACAAAGCAGTGGGTCTGCAGTGAGCACAGCCTGGTATGAGATTCTCAAGGTTCCATAATTTCGAGTAAATATACGCTTGGAAAAAGTTGTTTGCGTGCACTGGACGAAAAGACGCATTAACCGTTTTCTTCACATCACTACCTTGAGTTGAATAATGACAAAATCTTTTCCTGTTTTGTCAGAATTATTAGAACTATTTCTAGTTTCTGAATGGCAGAATGTTTGATTTCTTAAACATGTCCTCCAGCGGCTGACCTGTGATTCTGCTCTCTTCCCAAGAGTTGTTTGATCTCCTACACCTGAAGTGCGAAACTCTTCACCAACATCTTTTCCATAAGAACATGATTCATTTGCATCTCTTTTAAATATGCGAAGTGGCATATAAACTATTTGCTTGCTCGCTCTCACGCCGATGTTTCGTTTGCCAGAATGTAAAAGCTTTCAATTCATTTCAATTCAAAAACACTTTCTTGACCCCAAGAGTAAATTAAACAGACTTCAAATGTCTGCGCTGGTGGTTAAAAGGATAAAAAAAAAAAAAAAAAAAAAAGGCTATTTTTGCCTTCCTATAAAACTAAAAGTAGTTCTCCACTAATAATAAAATATTGCAAATACAGTATATTAGGTCCACAACATACCTGCACAACCCGTTCAAACATGTGAGCTAGCGGGAGATAGGATATATGAATGTCATGGAGGTTCAGCATGCTGTGTATCTGCAGGGGACACAGAGAAAACACATGCAGGTCACTCAGGTAATGTACCTCCACCACCCTCTCAAACATGTGGGCCAGAGGGAGGAAGGAGATTAGCACATCTTTGGAACTGGGCTTCAGTGTGTCCTGGGCAACAGGTCACATGGGGCCAAGGGGGGCGGTGGAGGGGCGCAGGATAGAGAGGGAATCAGAGAAGGTCAGACAGAGACAAATAGCATCAAACTAATCCATCTACACTTAATAACGCCTCGCAAAAAGTGTTAATGCCCCTGGAAAGTTTTGATGTTTTGTTCCGTTATGTTTGACGATAAAACACAATGCAGTGCATAGGCATAGAGTGGAGTGACGTTTTTGTTTTTTTTTACTATTAAAATTATGAAAAAGTTTGCAGAGACTAACATGAATATGCTTTGATCTAAAACATCTGATCGTAGCTCTGACAGCACCTTTTGGGAACAAACCTCCTCCACAGCCTCTGCTTTTCTGATGTCTGCAGAAGGTTCTCTTACCAGAGCACGACGCTGCTTTCACCGTGCTTCACCAAGTAAACGATGCTTTGCGCATGATGTCGCAACGCTTTGCTTGTTGGCCATTCGGTCCCTGTTCTGTGCGCTGTATGAGAAACTCCTACTCTAAACGTTCTTGATTCTGGCCAAGCTTGTGACTGAGGGATAATATCCACCGGGAGGCGGGATGACAGGATCTACCACGGGAAGACTGGTGACGGGAAATTAATATGCTCCTTGAGTAGAAACACTACTTTTGTATTGAATCTATTGAGATGCCTTACATATTTTTATTTTTAGCACGTTGCTGCTATGATTACTATATTTAGAATGATTTTTCATGTTTCCACGGTGCGCCCCACCCTGAGTAGTGGTGGAACTCTGGAGTGCTTCCCATAGTTACCATGAATGTCTTCAGTGATTAATGATCTCCTTGCTTGGTGAAGCTACATGTCTTGGTAGCTTTGCAGAGAATTAAAATGTGAAATCAACTAACTTTGTCCGTAATCTGTCTGCTGTGTTTCTTGCTCTTCAGAAAATGTGTTTATTCATGTATAGCTTTTCTTCCACTTCACAGTTATGCACTACTTTGTTGGCATATCACTTAAAATCGTTTCACTCCCATTGAAATGCATTGAAGTTTTTGGCTGTTATGTGACAAAATGTTAAAAAAAATTTGAGAGGCATGAATATTTTTTTCTGTATTGTGACAAAATCTTAAAAATTCTGCTTTTACAGGGACATATTCTCAGTTTTGTCATCAGTCAGATTCCGAGAGGAATAAAGGTGAAAATCTCGAAGGTGACTTTTTTTTTTTTTTTACCTGTGTTACTTTAATGAACGCTGCAGTGTTGGAGATTACATTTCCATGAGTAAGCATTGCACCTTTAGGGTTTCCTGCAGTAAAAACACAAAAGCTCAGGAAAAATAGAGAAAACACATCCTGTAGTATGGGAAAAAAAAATTATTGTTTGAAAAGCATCCAAGTAGCCCGATTTCCTGGGCTTACCTGTAGTTCCAGATGTAAAGCAGATGACTGCCAGGTCATTTGGTTTGGGAGGCTGTAGTTAAGACGACAGATGTTGCTCATTTTTTGGATCAAAGTGTGCATTGGTAATGTCTTATAGATGGAGTTTTAGTAACAGTGTTAGCATCTTAAGAATCAGGAGCCACGTCTTGTTTGTCAGGCCAGAGGATCTGCGCTGTTTCTACTCACCGTTGGTCTCTGAAGATTAGCTTCACCGATGGCCTGAAAAAACAAAAATCTCTCAACATAAGTGGAGAAGTTAAAATTTTTATTTTATGGAGCAGAAACAAGTCAGACCCTTACCTCAAACTCCTTCAGACTGAGAATCTCAACCCCGCTCTGCGCTGCTCGGCTCACCAGCTCCTTGTCGAAAGCTTCCATGAGAACGATGGTCTTCACGGTCTTTCCCTGGCCGCTGATGCAGTCCAGAATCATCCGAGCCTTTTCGGCTACGTCACATATCACTGTTGAAATGGTGGCTGAAACGGAGACGGAGACCACACGTGCGGAGTGGTTGAACTTTTCAGTTCCTGGCTCACAGCATGCGATGGGGGAATTAGTTTGTACCTCTCTCAATAATGTAGCCGATGGCCTCTGTGCCGAGCGTGTCGTACAGCGGGACCGCAACCAAGCTGTACGTGTAACAGGCCAGCTCTGAAATCGTCCACTGTGGCAAAAACAGAGCAGATGGGTTTGATGCGTTTAAATCAATATGATTATTGCACTGAAGAAAGCCTGCCGTGTCAGAAGCACAACATGCAACTATTTGTGTAAAGACGGATGGAGAGAAAGTAAGTTAAATCTAAGATATTGTTGCATGTACAAGAAGACTGATATCAAATGGAAATCAGACAAAAGCAATGGCTTGTTAATATATATATATATAAAAAAAAAACAACAACAAAAAACATGTGCGTTACCTCGGGTCTGTTTTGTGAAAAGATGCCGACGTACTTGTCGCCTGTGTGAAAGTGACCTCTGTGAAGAAGGGCAGAACCGATGTGCTGTGCTCTGTCCACCACCTTGTCAGAAACAGGGCATTTAAAAAAAAAAACACATTTGAGTTGAAGCAGGCGTTTCCTTTCAGCAGCACTCTGCAGCTTACCTCTTGATAAGACAGCCACTCGTACGGTTGGTTTGGCTTCCTCGACCCAAGGCAAGGTCCGTTATCTACCACAGAAAACAGAGGTGGCATCCTGACTCCGTTCGGTCTCTTCAGGCGTTTGCAGAGTCAACATCATAGCACAGAAACTCACTTGACACCCTGAGTCCTCGCATGAACACCTCATATATTGTCTGTGCGTCGCTGTAATAATGCGTCATGTACTCGCCGTCGCTGTCATTCAGCACTGACCTTCTGGCACGATCTCCCCCCTAAGAAGAGCAAAATAACATCGACAGAGACATGGTGACCCCTGCATCCCTGCGATCAATCAAGACTATAAACATTTTTTGTCAGTAACAACTGACAACGTTTTTCAAAAGAAGAGGCACCAATCGGAATCTGGTCGTCTTTGGCTGGTCAAATAAGGAATCAGATTTGTTTAATTCTGTTCTTTGAATGCATCAAAACTAGCAGCCGACTCCACTTTCAGATGTTCCAGTCAACAATAGTGTTTTTGATGCACAGCTAACGGTAAGTAACGTCCACTGGATTGCATAAATAGGAGTAATCTTGCCCTTGTTCTCACTTATATATTGTTATATAGAATTATGATAATAATAAAAGAAACTGCAGTAGATTTCTTGTCAATTTTCTGCTCTGGTTTACAAATAAGATCAGCAGGACTGACTTGAGGAAACCAGAAATCAATATCAGCCAAGAAAAACCTGGATGATGGAAATCCAAAGATCCCTGAAAACAATTTCCTGCAGAGATCACTTCACCAGCTGCGAGATAAACTACTCCTCATTCCTGCAGCATGAGACCAGCTGCTTAGGAATGTTCACTCTTATTACTGGACTGAAGATTGATGGTTCCAGTCCGCTACACTGGTGAGCAAAAAGACCGTCAGACTGAAAAAAAATGGCAAAAAAAAAAAAAAAAAAAAATTTTGAAAACACCCAGGTTTTTTCCTGACACGCCGGGGTAGGTCCCCCGGCGGGTATG